GGAACTCATGTTCTAAGGATCACCCACCTTCAAAACTGATACCAGCACTGATCTACTTTAACTATCACCTATGAACAACTGCAACATACAAACACAAATTTGCCACTGCGTTTCCTCGTATGACATGCAAGTATTTAGACATTGTTAAAAATACAACCCTTTTCTGCAAACACTCACCCTTTTCTTGAAGCTGGACCAAGAAAAGCTTTTTGTGCTCTTTTGGTTTTGTAATATGAGCTGGGATATAGGGATACTGGAAGAAAATCAACAAAAATTGGTCGTACAGAGCTTTGAAAATACAGTGCAATATTAAGTGCTACTTCATAAATTTCCAAGCACTGTGCAAGGTTTCAGCGTGTCATACTTTGTTCTTTCATGCCATCAAATAATAAAAAACACTTTCATAAGTAATTGGAAGGAAAGGTTGCTGTCAATTATTGACAGGATCTAAAGAGGCACCACTACTCACAAGCAGTTAAAACAACCAGCAAGACAGAAATGCGTAACAGCAAACTGAGCTAAAGTATTGTCAGTATTAAAGCATTCAGAAATAGTGCAGTGAGACTAATTTATTCTCAGGGTGTCTGTTCCATATGCAGCATTGTGGCTACAACGGGAATATGAATGGCCTGTCTGGCTCAGCACAGGACTGGAAGCTATCTTATCCAGTGGTTTCACATCTATCAGGAGATTTGAGGAAGGAGATGGGAGTTACAAAAAAAAAAAAATACAAAAAACTCGCAGAAAGGAGATGAAATAGGTAAGAACCAGAAAAACTAATTGCTTGTTCAACAGGTACTCAAAAAGCCCAACTAGTAGGTTGAAGGCTTTCAGAAGCACAATCAATATCAGGCTGAAGATGATGAAAGTCAACATGAATACTGACCTGTGGAGGTTCGAAGTTCGGTCTCCACCAGTTACCAATGCAGTCATCAATCACCCAGTCTTGCTGAACACCATCCTGACGACCCAGTATCTACCAAAAGTCCAATTACAGTCAAAATTCTTAACTACCCCAAGTCTTAACTACCCCAACTACTTAAAACCAAGTCAGGTTTTACTTAGAAAAAACACACTGGAAGCATGAAGACTTGCTGGAATAAGGATCTAATGTAGTTCAGAACTGCTCTGAACAGCTCTTAACATAGAGTATTTTTGTATAAAGGGACTTTTTTTATTATTATTTTTTAGCAAAAGCCTCATGTAACAATGACACTTCAGAGAGCATTACAAATTCCATTCACCAACCATGTCCTGGGCTTCATCCCCAGCAGCATGAGCAGCAGGTCGAAGGAGGTGATCCTGCCCCTCTACTCTGCTCTCGTGAGACCTCACTTGGAGTATTGTGTACAGTTCTGGTGTCCTCCACATAAAAAGGACATGGAGCTGTTGGAGCAAGTCCAGAAGAGGGCCACAAGGATGATCAGGGGGCTGGAATACCTCCTGTATGAAGACAGGCTAAGAAAGTTGGGGCTGCTCAGCCTGAAGAAAAGCAGCTGTGTGGAGACCTCATAGCAGCCTTCCAGTATCTGAAAGGGTCTACCAGGATGCTGCAGAGGGACTCTTTCTCAGGGACTGTAGTGATAGGACACAGAGTGATGGGTTTGAGACTTAAACAGGGGAAGTTCAGGTTAGATATAAGGAAGAAGTTCTTCCCTATGAGGGTGCTGAAGCGCTGGAGCAGGTTGCCCAGAGCAGCTCTGGCTGTGCCATCCCTGGCAGTGTTCAAGGCCAGCTTGGACAGGGGTTGGAGCAACCTGGTCTAGTGGAAGGTGTCCCTGCCCATGGCAGGGGGTTGGAACTGGATGAGCTTAAGGTCCCTTCAACCCCAACTGATTCTATGATTCAGCTGAACAGAGTCCCATCAGGCCAATGAGAAGAACAAAACGCATGAATGACAGGCTACTTTGAGGGCACAGAAAGTTAATCGGTGCTTGGGAAAGCTACCTCAAAGACAAGTCCTCATCATTTGTGCTCCACAACATATTTTACTGCCCATCTCACTTGCCTGAAGCCAGCCAAAAAGCAAAGCTGCAAACAAACACAGGACTTGAGCAGGAGGTGTGGAGTCAGCCACCAAACCACTCCATCACACTCAGTATGGAGATAAATGCAAACTTACTGCTTTATTTGTTAACTACCTGCAAACATCACAAAAGCAGCAAAGTAACAGAAGCGATAAGGAGACTACTCTCATGCTTTGTAGTCAAAGATAGTTCAGCATTCTGAAATAGCAACATAATGAAAGAAACAAACCTCTGTCATTAAGCGTTTGAGCCCTTCTACCTCATCTTCTCCTGGATTGAGTTCACCGCCAGGTCTGTCAAGTTAAACAATGATGAAAGCTAAAGTTATGTTTTATCACATTTACCAACTTCACAGGTAACACTGGTTGTGCTTCCAGACAGGGAGTTACAAATTCATGCAGGGCTCCTCTGTCAGAAGTTCCAAATCTAACTGTGCCGAATTTGAAGACAGTAGGATAGCTTTCACCAAAAGCATGACTCAAATGGCTACTGTATGGCCCCTGAAAAATAATTATCATGCAAGATGCTTTAACTTCTTCAGCAGTTGTCTTCATACAACTGTGACACATAAAGGTAAATTTTTAACAATAATATATAAGCACCAGAAGTTGAAGAAAGAGTTGTAAATACCAACTGTATTTGTTCTTATCTCAGAAACAGCACCCCCTGACACACACAGGAAACAGAAAATAAAACTCCTGTCTGGAACCACCCTGCATTTGATGTAAGGTTAATGAGGAAAAAAAAAAAAAAAAAAAAAAAGCCAACCAAAAAAACCAAGAAACCACCAAACCAAAAAAAATTCTCCAAAAAAATCCAAAACCACACCAAAACCCTAAGAACATGTTTTCATCATTACAGTTTTGCAAAGCTTTTAGAGTCTAGCCTATTTTGTCCACAAACATCCCTCAAATCAAGATGTCAGGAAAGAATCCAGATATAAAATGAGATGTAGCACACACAAAATTGAGAACAAGCTACAAAAATGTTAAAACATCAAAGCAAGAGCACAAGCAGGAAAACTTGAGGCAAGTAAAATCCATCCAGTTTAAAAAGAAAACAAGCACCACCACTATGACTATAGAACCGAAACACTAACATTTCATTCTGGCAGCAATAACTGAGATGAACTGAAGCCATTTTCTCACATTTAGACACCAACCTTTCTTGCTGTCCCCAGCTCCCCCTGTAGTTTGTAAATGGGTATTATTCTGCATTTACTGGGGTTTATTCCTTCAGCCCCATGTTACCATTTTTGCAGTCACAGCATAAGCATATTTAAGTATAACAGCTTTCACAATGTCAGTAGAACACACTAACTACTGTTCACAAATTTTAAACAGGATTTTACCATACTGACACACCATAACTAAGATCTCCAATTGGTTCCAAATGAAGTCACCCCACTCATGAGCAGAGTAAAATACACTTTAAATGAAAACCCCACTGTTAAAAAAAGACTTTTTCCATAATGTCTTTTCAAGACATGAATCACATTTAAAACATCTATCAGCCAGACACACTTTAACCTCTAGCCCACGCATTTAGTGGTCCGTGAAGTAAAGTTAAAGTTATGTTCAAGAAACAGACACTTACAGCTTGAAAAAAGTTGTCCCCAGCTGCAGTAACAGCACATGGGGCAGCCTGTGCTCATGGACAATCAGTACACCTTCCACTGTCCGCCTCATGCCAATCTTGTCAAATTCTTCCCTCATGCGCTGAAACCGAGCTGCAACAGAGCTGTCCTTCTCATACAGGGGTTCCTTTGTACCAAACGTGTAATTTGTCAACGGATATCTGCAAGGGGAAAAACAAAAGTAGTTGTGTAACAAGAAATCCGTATTTAAATCATTGTGACACAGCATCTCCACTGAGGCATAACCTTCTGTGCTTGATGGAACAAGCAGTGCTGGGCAAGAAGTTCTTGCTCGTGATTTATGGGGCCAATACCACAGGAAAATCTGCGCCATGATACATGCAAGTGCAGAACGTCCTGCTGATGGACACGCTAGCACGGTTCTGATTCAGAAGGAGGAAAGAAGCCCAGGAAAAACAGCAGCAACTGTTAGTCAACAGCCACCCTCTTTGATCTCCACACCACAAAGGCAGCTGAGGCTGTGAAAGGAGCTGGGAAAGGGACAGGAGAGAAAAGCTCTGCTGGGAAGGAAGCAAGCTGCACAGGACAGCAGGGTTTTTTCCTGCAGAAGTAATGAAGAGCCTGAGGACTAAACTGTTAGAAGTGGGTTTCTTTTAAAGTGGGAAATTGGACATCTGGATCACAAAAGAGGACAAATGCTGAGGGTTTATGTGCAGGGCTGGGGATAACATCAAGAGTTTGAGCAGATCATTCTGCTGGGCTAGGTGCTGGGCCTCTGCCTTCAATCCTGACCACACAGTGGAAACTTGAGATATTTCTCCAGCGAAGAGGGACTGAAAAGAGCCAGCAAACAAAGGAAAGGTTAGGCAACAGATCAGTCAGTCCTAGAGAGCACAGAGGGCAATAGGAGAATATTACTGTACAACAAAAACCCAAGTAACACAGATCTGGCAGCATGAGGCCTGAAGGGAAGACAGGATCATCCAGCTAAGTCAGAAAGAAAGAGGAAAATGGGTTCAGAGCAGAGCAGGAACAAGTTATCACCACAGTTTTATCAACTTGTGGCATACAGCAACTGAATTAACAGAGTAAGTGCCTGATTCCATGGGGAATGTTTTCCTTGAAATACATCTTGTAACATATTCTTTCTCCAATAATCATGTTAAATTCAAGTAGCATACACTTCCCCCCTCCAAATTTCGATGTTTTAGTGGCAAAATCACAAGCCAGATGCAGCTTTTAGAGTCCTTTACGCGTACACACAACTAGTTTCCTAATGACAGATTCATTCATTAGCAAGCTCCCCCACTTTCACTTATAACTTCGAACCACTTACGTTTCTTTTTCCACTTATTTCCAAAGAGATATACAAAGAGCTTTATTAATGCAAAATCTACTACGCTAACCCATGCTACACCAAATTAGGTACATTAGCCTGTATAGCAAAACCATTAGCCTATACTTAAAAATAAATGCCAGCAATAACACAGCTTTTGACAAGTCTTTTCTTCAGAAACACTTTAAAAACATTCCAGTCTCTGACATCCATATTTTAACTTCAAGACTTTAACTGTGAACAAAGTCAGCTATACAAACTACACATATATAAACACACAAGCCTGCAACTAATAGCTAAAAGCGAGTGGGGGACTGTTACAGTTAGTATTTACATATTCTGCAACAGGACAGATGTAGCTCACAAAGAACACATCTATCAGAACTTACAGAGGAAGACAAAGTGTGTGGCTTCTCAAATCATGTAGTAGTTTCTTAGCAAACAGCCTGTCTCTAGGCCAGTTTTATTTGTTAGGAACC